GTGTCTGTGTCGCGATCTACCGTTTATTTTGCTGTGTGTTTTGTCAATCCGCCGGTGTTAGTTTATTTTTGACCTTTTTTTTCCCCAGTTATGTTATGTTTGAGTTCAGCATTAAAGCTGTTTTGGTTTAAGTTCTGTCTCCGGAGTCTGCACCTTGGGTCCTATTCCTGTCTGCACACAGCCGCACCTAACAATTAGTTTATGTTAACTAACTAGTGACAGAACTGATAAGTCAGTGCAAAACAAGGGGACCAAAACTAGCAATCAGTCTAAGGGGATCACTTTTTCACTTCAAGTAAACATACAATTTATGGTTTTAATGGTCGTTGCACATCTTCTTAAGCTGATCACTTGGATGTGTGTGTATACCAACAGACTGTCGAACTAGGCCAGTGTTAATGGGGTTAATCCCCAAAACCTTTTGCACAGTGGTCTTGTCAAAGGTCTTGCCTTGTTTAAACAATGAGGTGATGTTCAAAAGGACAAAACAAAGCACTCTTTATTCCTGTTTTGTTAATTTGCTCTTGTCACCCCAACTAACTGAATGAGTTCACATGAAAAAATATTGCGTGTGAGATCTGTACACATGTTTTTTTTATGGTGGAAGTAGATACAGTAGCAAATCTGCAATCTAAAAACTAAATTCCAAAAATCTAACTAACAAATTCTAAGACTTATGAAGCATAATGAACCAAAAGTAAAACTGTAAATTATGTATATGATCCTTTTCACAGCTTCATGTTATGTTATGATCATAAAATTTTTAACTGTTGATAGAATCAGGGTAATTTTGTCTTATTTTAATGTAGATATTTAAGCAGTATTTATGGTATGGTATTTATTTAGGTATGGTATGTGTTTATATTTAGTATGATGTATTTTTGTATAAAATCACTTTAGCCAAAACATTTTACTTGAATAGTTTTTTAACCTTATATACCTTGTTTTCATTCAAGGTATTACAATAATTTCAGTGTAATATCTAAATATGGCAATCTTTTCATAACAAGCTATTTTGGGATTACCATACCTTATTATTGTTGAGGGGTTTTATTGTTTACAATTTTTTAAATGGGCTGTGATAAACGGGTGGACATCTAAAGTGACTATAAATGGGCAGTTGCACAGCAAGAATGATTACAGCTTAATATTTGACCTCTATCACATGTTCTGCCTACTATATAAACGTATCATTTGAATGCCAACCTAACGTCCTGTAAGAATGTCTGTTACAGAAACTAAATCAACATGTTTGATGGAAGCGTGTCAATAAACTACAGGAGGAAAGTGCTGCTTTTATGTTCAACGAATACAGTTTAATAGTTTCCCCTGTTTTGTATGCTCTCTGCTTGATAAGCCTGTCATTTGAATGACATCCAGAACTACTGTAAGAATGTCTGTCAGAGAAAGTTAATCAACATGTTTGATTTAGTTGTGTCAATACACTGCATCAGTAAAGTACTGCTTTTATGTTTAGCGATTACAGCTTCATATTTAACCACTGTTAGGTATGCTGTCTGATATGAAGGCTAACATTTGAATGACATACAGTCAGACATACAGTCAGAATTTCTGCTACAGTGACCTACTCAGCATGTCTGTGTTTAACGCTCCCCTGCAATAGTTCAGCTCAGGCAGCTTGAAGATTTTCAAGCTGTTTGTCCTTTTTTTCCTTAAATCATTGCAACCAACCAAAGCACCAATGGCTCAACTGCCTTTTCTCACGCATGGTCATAAAGTGTAAGAAGAAGGTAAGATTATTTACTTTGGAACGTTTCTTTAAAGTGCCATACCAGAAATAAAAATAAATTAATATAAAACAACAAATTAATTAAAAGCTGGTCTGTATAGAGACGTCTTCAGCTGCTTTTTGAAAGAGTCAGTGGAGTCTGCACAGCGTAAAGACAGTGGAAGAGAATTCCACAACCTTGGTGCCACTGCCTGAAAAGCCGGATCCCCACGTGTTTGGAACCGAGTACATGGGGCCAAGAGCAACCTCTGACCTGAAGACCTAAGTGCTGGGGAAGAAGCATGAGGTTTCAACAGGTCAGAGATACATTGGGGAGCTTTACCATGTAGAGCCCTAAAAGTTCAAACTGAAATTTTAAATTGAAACCTAAAATTTATTGACAACCAGTGAAGAGGAGCCAAAACAAGAGTAATAATAATAATAGTAATAACAAAGTAATAGGAGTAGTAAAGGAGCAGAGAAGCCTCCTGTCAGGATTTTTCAGTTTTACTTAATTTAGCATATTTAGCTATTCACTTTTCTCCGACTCAGAGCAACACTCTGCAGTAATGGATGTTTTTCTAACACTTGTTTGAGGTTGGTTTGAATGTTATGACATATTATCAAATGCATGTTAGGGAAATCATTTCTGACAGTGAGGACAGTGAGATAGATAACAGTGAGGAGGAGTGAAGAAGAGATGTAGAAGGCAGAAAAACAGTAAAAAGGGTTTAAAATATTGCTTGTCTGGTTGTTACTGAACACATTTAACCCTCCTGTTGTGTTCGTCTCTCAGTAACAGTAGTGATGTTCCTGGGTAAATTTGACCCGGGGCATATTTAAACAGAATAGTTAAATAGTTTTAATAGTGTAAAACTTCTTTGCTTGGATTAATAAGTGTAATCACCATAAAAGATGAAAACCTGCAAACCCTCCTGCATGTTTATATGGCATAGATACTGTTTGGGTCAGTTTGACCCAGCTGTCAAATGAACGTTAAAGACCTCAGAAGTGTCAAATAATATTTGTTTCTTTGCATTTGTGACAAATATGTCACTCCAATTACACACACACATAAACACACACGTGCACAGACTCCCTATCCTATTGACTTCATCTGTAAAGTGCAAGTATGTAGATGTTGTTGTGACTTTTAACGGGAACCTTTTCTGTTCCCATGAGCAAACTCCACCTAGTGTGTGTGCACATAAGTGGAGATTCAGCAGAGAAGGAGTAAAAGCTTAAAGATATAAAGGATTTTTTTTTGTTTCTAACACTTTTGGGTCATTAACAGATGAAGTTGAGTGAGTGATTTATTTTATTATTTTTTATTTGACAACTTTTCTGAACTGGTGACTTTGCACCTTAAAAAATAATCATTTGTAAATATTCTTCTTACTCCTGCAAGTTTTCAAAGCTCCAATATGAATGCGATTTGACACTGAATGAGTAAATGTGCAGTTGCACTGTGTGCATCAAAGATATTGTTTGCTCAGCAGGCAAATCTCTTGACTCCTCCTCCTGAGCAGGATGTTTAATTCCTGTGAGGGGATGCTCGGGTAGTAACCTAATAAAGCTGCTGGATGCAATCCCAGGGCACAATGAGTGGATCATGCTCATCTGACAGACCTGCTTTCTCCAACAACCCTGCGCACGCACGACCTGCTGCTCCTCTGTAAGTACTGCAGGTCACAGCAATTACAACTTGTACAGTAGATAAAATGAAGAGTCAAGTGTCTCTGCTGGTTGAAAAGATCATCAGGACGCATGAATGAAATATATTTCACGTTATGGGGACAAGGAGAGAGAGAATACATTATTGCTTTCGGTAAGTTTTAGATTTTTGTTTGTATTTTTTTTTTCAAAGTTATTGTTTGTTGTCCTGCAGGTTTGCAGGTCTTATATTGTTTTTTGAACGTACATTTTTGTTTTGCAGATATTTGAATTCGTACAAAACAGATTCCTTTTAGCATTAATACTCAAACAATGTACAGTCTTTCCTCATCCTGGTTAAAGTCCACTGAGTAGCAGCAATTAAAAGTTGTATGCTTTGACTCTAAGAATGATAATTTGTCCTTATGTACAATGTTTAAAGAATTCTCTCAATTGCATTTTGTCATGGAAAAGTCACTTGCTTAAATCCCTAGTGGAGTTATAAATGTTTTGCCCAAAGACAGCTGCTCTGATAGGGTTCAGTACAATTCCAGCCACATGCACACACTAGGAATCCACAAGTAGGCTAATCATTTTTCTCATTATTCTTTTTGCCAGGAGGTTGCTGTCCTGGTGTAACTGTCAGAACATAATGGTGGCATTTAAAGGGATCTGGACCAAGGACTTCTGGAGGGCTGTGTCTGGAGAATACCTAGCCACACTCATCTTTGTCCTTCTTGGCCTGGGCTCCACCATCAACTGGGCTGCAGGGAAGGAGAAGCCTCCGCCAGCTGACCTAGTCCTTATCTCCCTGTGCTTTGGCCTTACTATTGCCACTATGGTGCAATGCTTTGGCCACATCAGTGGTGGACACATTAACCCTGCAGTCACTGCAGCTATGGTTGTAACTAGAAAACTGAGCCTGGCAAAGGCTGTGTTCTATGTGGCAGCTCAGTGCCTGGGAGCTATTACAGGAGCTGGGATTCTCTACTTAGTCACACCTACTGCTGCCAGAGGGTCCTTTGGTGTGACCACAGTAAGAACTTGGTTGTTATTTATGGTTATGATAAATGTAAAATAGGTTTTTACTATTGTTCCTATTGTTTCTTTTCATCATTTGTTTCCCAACCGCATTGTTTCCTAATAAGGTATTCTGATTCTGAATCCTAGGTGAATCCCACCATATCCGTGGGACACGGCTTTCTTGTGGAGCTCCTGATCACATTTGAACTGGTTTTTACCGTCTTCGCCACCTGTGATCCCAAACGCACAGACTTAGGTGGTTCTGCAAGCCTGGCTATTGGTATTGCTGTAGTGATAGGGCACTTATTTGCAGTAAGTAGCTTTCAGCAAGTTAAATAAATATATATAGATAGAAACAATGTCACATTCACAGGAATGGTATATTCAGATCACTTATATAAAAAAATTTAACTACATCAGAGCCTTAGAAATCTTCTGCAACCACATCTACATATCAGCTGACTCATCTAGTACTCCTACAACTAGCAGTGAAACAGATTTAAAGATTAACCTGAAGCTCACATTACATTCCCAAATTAAAGAATTTCAGTGCAAGTTCTTTTCCAAGTGCAAGCTTTTTCAGTGGAAAAAGAGCAGGTGGATCAAGCATCTATTCGTGAATGTGTGATACTCACACTTGTCAGTGTTCACACCCACACGCCATCGCATGGCAACCAATCTCTGGGGGCTTCCTGAAACCTGCAGAGAAAATGAAAGCACAGGGAAACAGATATCATCTCTCACAACGCACAACTGATTTCTCATTTGGGCTGTTTACATACATACACACACACACACACACACACACACACACACTGATAATATGCAAATTTATGATGTACAGTCCTTTTAGACTAAAATCAGTATTATTATCCATATTGCAGATCCCATACACAGGAGCCAGCATGAACCCTGCCCGTTCTTTTGGTCCTGCAATGGTCACACTTAACTTCGAGAACCATTGGGTGAGAGATCCTTCTGTATGATGTTATTCTTACTTTAAGGAGTTTGTGCAGGCGAAATTTAATTCAGCATTTCTTCCCTGTTATAGCAGAGAAAAGTCAGTCTTTCTGTGTGGAATTTACATGTTATAAATGTTAAATATACAGTATAAACATCCTTTTTAGGTGCGAAGTGTCTCTTTAAGTTGGTTCAATGAAAAAAAAATGCTTCAACTGAGGGTGACTAGTTAGTTGTGAGTTTTAGAAATGCTGAACTGAGATCAATGAAGTGCTAATCCTAATTGAATGAGTTGAGTGAACCCTTGCCAGACCATTTATTTAACTCATCATAGCCTTCAAGGCGTCAAGTCACAGTTTATTAATGTGTAATTATTTGCTAATTAAAATAATTTGCCTAGCGACATAAAAATTGGGTGTTTCATGATGTGAATGACACCAAGTGTAACTCGTTCTCACTGTGTCTGCCGTCATATTCAGAAGTCACTTCAGCCTGCAGACACAAAACGTACCTACCTCTAACAAGGCACCGATTAACCAATTGACTAATTAAGGTGTTTGTCTTGCTGCTTGTGTTAGGTCTACTGGGTGGGACCTATTATCGGAGGTATCTTGGCTGCTGGTTTGTATGAGTACCTGTACTGCCCCGACCCTGAGATAAAGAAGAGGATGAAACAAGTCTTCAAGAAGGACCCAACGGGGAAATACAGGGAAGTGGAGGCAGGGGACATTGCCGTCAAGCCCGGCTCCATCCATAACATCAACGTGGAGAAAGCTGATGTTATGTTAACAGGAGAAGTATGACTATCACGTGCACTGGAAATGGAGA